TTTAGGATTTAAGCTTTACTCTATCACTCAGAGTGCCACCCAAACTGGGAGAACCTCGTTTGAATATTTGTAAGCGTAACAAGAGTTTATGCAAACTCTTGAGGCGGGAAATGAGTCTTTAAAAGTAAATCGCTTACAAATTGGCGTCGTCGGCAGGAAGGATGTGGTAACACTAGTTCGTTTAGTGGGTTTCGAGATGTCATTTTTTCGCCTGCATCATTTTCTTCGCTGAGTCACTTGAGTAGCAATGTGTCAGAAGGAGTTCCCGCAGTGTCTGATACTGGTTATGTAAGCGTAACAAGAATTTAGAGCTGGTCGGCAAGTTTGTGCCAACCCAAGGTTTGCGGAATATGTATCATAGTTTTATGGGTAGCTTAGTCATGATATTTTTTTATGGCTAATTAACTACCGGTAGATTTGTGCACTTGGACATATGAATCTGATATTCCATGAGTTTGTGGAGGGGAACGCCTTTCGTGTGGAAGAAGGGACGCCTTGTGAATGTGAATGTGAATGTGAAAGTGTGATTGTTATGTGAGAGGGAATTTCAACTCATGTGCCAAGTATGCTGGTTAAATTTTGTTGGCCTGTGTTTGGATTTACTCTGTATTTATAAGTTTGTATGCATTCTTGAGTTTTGAATATGTTGCTCTGGGTTTAATGTTTTGCTAGAGTTCTGATATGTTCTGAGACTTTTTGATATGTTTTGATATGTTCTGAGACGTTCTGAGATGTTCTGAGATGTTCTGATACGTTCTGATACGTTCTGATATTTGATACTTTTTGATACGTTCTGATATGTTCTGAGACTTTTTGATATGTTTTGATATGTTCTGAGATGTTTTGAGATGTTCTGATACGTTCTGATACGTTCTGATACGTTTTGAGAAGTTTTGAGATGTTGTGAGATGTTCTGATATGTTTTGATAAGTTCTCCTGTGTTTTATTCAAGCACTAATGTTTGCTCGATTTTGCTTGTTCAAAACTCTGCTTGCTTGGTACTTGGTTGCTTGAAATTCCGCAGCTCGAGATTCAGTCTGTTCGAGTATGTTGGCTCGAAATCCTGTTTGTTTAATATTCGGTGTCCTCAGGATTTCAAGTGCTCGTTTTTGTTGTAAGCTAGAGATAAGGTAGGTATATTTTAGATTGTATTTTAGGAGTAGAAATGTTTATATAAATTAGGGATAGGGTTACTTAGCAGACGTATTGTTTGGTGCCTTTTCTTTTTCAATGTATATATTTCTTAAAATTTCATATCAATTTTGCTTTAAATTCCCATATTGTTAAAATCTTAATTGTAACCTTTTCTGTACCTGGAGCCCGCAACTCAATTTTTTTGTTCCACATTACTGTACTGCATGTTGATTTTGTTTTGGGTGGACTGTGGCTTGGTGTCAGAAGTGATTTTTAGAATAATTCGTGTGTAATATATCTACACCTATGTATTTACAAGTGAATCGGTATGGTCTGTATGGCAAAGACTGTCCCCATGCTGAGGATTGCGGAAGAGGTTCTTTCTGACCAGCACGAGGGTGGATGCCTGGAGGCCGTCCTTTGTCCATGGAGGGGGGGTGATGTAACGGAAGTTTACACGCTACACTCGCCACAACCGGAACAGGAAGTTACCTTGGTTCATACGGGTGTTTCGAACATCCGGGTTTTGGGAAAGGGATATTTAAGCTCGTGCGTGCCGCACGAGCTTCAGTCAGCGTCTGGCTCCGGGGACAGGCTTGCCGGAATCTGTGCACACGTGCGTTCGGTATGGTAAGATAATTGTGTTAGTAGTAGTTTGTTCTTTTTATTTGCCCAGTCACACCAATTTTTCTTTATGATTAGGTTATCATGTTTGTTAATAATGGGATAGATTTAGCACGTAGCTTTGTAATATTTTCTGCTGGAAATTGTGTGCCAGTGTTGGTTAGGCTAAAGAAGTTTCAAAACTTTGGACCCGGTGTGTCAACCGAGAGTGTATTAAATATGTTCGAGGACTGTGAATAGTGAAAGCGTTTGACGCCTCTGTGTCTATCGTTCGACCGAGTGTGTTCGATATGCTCGAGAACTGTGAATACTGAAAGTGGTTGACGCCTGTGTCTATCGTTCGACCGAGTGTGTTCGATATGTTCGAGAACTGTGAATAGTGAAAGCGGTTGACGCCTCCGTGTCTATCGTTCGATATTGAGAATACTTCCATTGGTTTGTAACAACCAGTTTGTGTCTGAACATGTAACACATGTATACTGGTCGAGAATACTTCCATTGAGTTGTCACCAGTTTGTGTAGGAATTTGTAACACATGTATACTGGTCGAGAATACTTCCATTGAGTTGTAAACCAGTTTGTGTAGGAATTTGTAACACATGTATACTGATCGAGAATACTTCCATTGAGTTGTAAACCAGTTTGTGTAGGAATTTGTAACACATGTATACTGGTCGATAATACGTCCATTGGTTTGTAAACCAGTTTGTGTAGGAATTTGTAACACATGTAAACTAGTCGGTAATACTTCCATTGGTGTGCAAACTCTTGAGGCGGGAAATGAGTCTTTAAAAGTAAATCGCTTACATTTGCAGTGTGGGCAGTTACCTGTAGTGTGTTTTTTTATTTTTTTTAGCTGGTTATTTAGGTTTGTGTGTCCTGTTTGGAGTTTCGTGATTACTCTGTCGATTTTTTTTGATGGATGGAGAATTTTTGGATTGGTTAGTGGTTTGCTGAGTACTTTTTTGATTTGGCTATTTGAGTTTAGATATAGGTTATGCCATTTTTTGGTGATTTTTTGTTAGTTGACACTTTTAATTTCTGATTTGGAGATGGGTAGGTTTAAGCTTATTTCTGGGATTTTGAGGGATAGTTTAGCTGCTTTATCGGCGTTTTCATACCGTATATTCCTACGTGGGCGGGTATCCACAAGAAGGTTATTTGTTTGCCTGCCTTAGTTAGGTCGTTGGAGCCACTAAGTATTTGATTTATTAATTTAGGTCGGTTTTTGGTATTTTTGTTTTGGAGGGCTTAAGTATTAGGATTTTTTTGTGGTTTTTGGATTCTTGATTATGGAGGGCTGAGGCCATGCCCATTAGTTCTGCCGTGAATATTGATTGGTTGTTTGGAAGTGGGAAGGATTGTGTGGTTTTAGTTGGTTGTGTGGTATGGACTCCGAAACCTGTAATTGGCACTGATAGGTGTGAAAATGGACATAGCAAGGGGCAAATTGAAGCCAGCTTGGCAATTCGCCCCAACAAAGATCAAAGCAATAAGTCCCAAGCATTAGACAGATAGGTTTCCTGGTCACAGTTTCTTTTAGTCTTGTGTTGAGGGGTCTAAAGTCACATCCTGAAGAACGTAAACCATAACATCATATGTGGGAAGCCACCAAAGTCCTGTCTACCAACAACAACAACTGGCGACAAAGGAAACTACAAGAAGCCATTGACATCAGGAGACACCAGCCAGCCATGAACCGTGACCAGGGAACCAATCTGCCCTGTGCTTAATTTGTGTTCCTCATAATAAAGAAGTTGACATCCATATATTCTCTTCCTTATGATTTCAATTCTGTTTTCGTTTTGTCAAAGAATGTTTTTTTGGTGAAAAAATCCTTCCTTCCGGTTTGTTTGTTGTAGTTTTATTGTGCATTAAACTTGTGTCACGTTAGAATGGATTTGTCTTCATTGGTATGGTGGCAGCGCTTTGAATCTACACTAATACCGATTTCAGCACACGGAAACCGTAATACAAATCCAGTAACCCTCAGACGTTAAACATATGTGTGTAGACTACGAGCTGAAACTTCCGAAATGCCCATCAAACATTTGCACAGGATCTTGTAAATTGGGAAGCGAACGTAAAACATGGCCAACGCAAGAGCTCCCTAACAATGGCAGTTAATGAAGAATGAGAAAATCAGTTCTCTCAAAAACTGGAGGCAGAAGTTAGTATACATTCTTTGCAATAATTTCTCCCCATTCCTGGCAGATGGTAGCACCTGGTTAAAGAAGACTGCTGTTAATCCACTCAGAGGGTTACAGAATAATAGTGAGGATGTTCATGAAAGTCAGCGGAAAACAGCTCAGCAGAAAAACATATATCTTGAACTCATGTTGGGCCAGATTGCCAACTACTATACTGTCATCAGCAGGAATTCAATTATCCATAATTCTACTTCTGTTCAAGATATTTGGCAAAAGATCCGGCTCTGTTACGGCTTCCAATCTCCAGGTGCTGAGGCTGGCGTCACCCGGCCATCATGGTATAGATATTGATCAAGATGAAGACCTTACACCAACACTTGAAATTGCTTCAATTTATTCATCCTCAGCTTGTTAAACAGAAATACATAGGGAAGTTGAGAAATCAGACGTTAGCATCTTTGAAACCAGAGATCTCACAAGCTCTTTCCTCACTGATGGATGAATCACACACTGTTGAAGACACCAAGGCTTTAAGAACAGCATCCTTTTCAACAAACAAGCCAAGGCAAAATTACATCAAACCGGCTAGACAAATGAGAATCTGTGTTAGTCCCCAGTATTTATGCAGTGACAAACTATTGTTAAGTGGCTGTTAACATTATTTACTGTTGACTACATATCCAGTTGAGCTACAGTGCTGTGGCACTACTTTTCAAAATGTAACAACATGTGGTCTATATGTGGTTTGTATTGCTGCACAGCATGTATGTGGCGGTTTTGGGTTCACTTTAAAAAGCGATATGGTTTGACCTTTCACTTTGACAGTGCCCTTAAAATCACTCACAATGTATTCTTGGAACGACCTCCCTTATGAAGCTGAAATACATGTGCATATTTCTTTTTTTTTAAATCATAGTTTATTAAATTGTTGTGATTTTATTGTTTGGTTAACACATGTCCATCCACATATGAAATATGTTCTTCAGATAACACACAAACAATACATTGCATCATACATTACTGGCAGGGCATGTAGTACTACCAATAAGTAAATGTTGTGTTTTGTTAAATGTTTAACTTTTTTCTGATCAGGTTAACAGCAAGACAATGATGAAGATATTATTTCTACCCCCTGAGGAGGTTGATGTTGAGGGCTCCAGTGAGATGGCTGTGGTATGTATGTGGCCCCTTAAGTTTAATAGCAGAGAGTTACATCTGGCTCATTTCAACACTGGACAGGGGTATTTGTACAGGATAACCACTTCATGTGACATGCACTATTATTACTATTCTTAATTCCAATATCAGGGAGTTATCATCTGCCATTAGACAAACCTTTAAAGTACACCATGCAGAGAGGAACAACAAAAAATCAAAATATTTACTGGATTCCGGGATGCAGCCAACTTGGATACAGACAGGTGACACAGGCAGGCACATCACCAGGCGGCTCTACTCAGCATCAAGGAATAGACCATGTTTTCCTGCTTTTGCTACAATTTCTCCTTGCATTAAGCCAGCATTGCCCTGAGAAGTCTTGGTATTGTGAAGCCTTGTGGTTGTGGTTCCTACTGATTTTTATTAATCATGTCATATCGACTATAATTCAGCTTTGTCAAGTTGAGCATGTAATGTTGTGCACTGATATTGCTGAGAATAATAGACCAAGTTTTTTAGGCCGAGTTCGGCAAGGCGAATACTGTCTGCGTATTTCCCCAGTGCATCATTTCAGTGGGCTGGAGTTGCCTCTTGATTTTGCACTAGCTGTACATGAATCTAAGCGGTCGTACTGGAATGTGTTAAATATCTCATTAAGGTGACATCTGTGGTTCAGTGGCTCTGTGGAGGATTTCTTCTACAGTAGTGTCATTTGTATCCTCCCTGCCATCTCAGATTTCTATTCACAGATGCTTAAAGACATTGCCAGTGAGTTTTGGGAGACAGTCACCAAAACAACTCTTTTGTCGGAAGTATGTAGGAATTTAACATGGTGGGGGTGAATAGAAGTAAATCATTGTGTACCTTAATCAATCTGAACAAATGGTGGTCGCGAAAAACCCCATATTGTCCCATTGAATTATCTTCAACTTGTGTTGATTTCTACATTTTCTCCTTGAGTTTGTACAGGGGTGACAAGCTCCTGGAATATTACGAAATTGCATGATAACACAACCCAAATTCTGTACCCTTTGATGACCTATGGGAACCCTCTACAGCCAACCAAAGTCACTGCCCACTTGAAGACATGTATCACCATGCAAATTCTTCTCACCCAACTGCCCACCTTATGGCTGTCTAGTTGGATATTGTATGAACAGAAAGATACCTGCTAACATGCATGCATGGTCTACGTCTGCATCTAGCACAGCCCCACACAGAATCAAGTGAATGTTTTGGGTTTGCTGTATTGACATTTATGTATTATCGTGAGTATATAATATTAAAGGAAATTACCAAAGAAATTTCTATTTTATATGTCACACGGATGCTGGTTGTCAACAGGGATTTTGTGTGTCCCTTTTGCGCTTATAGGTCATCTGACCTCAAAGTTCAAGTGAGGTTGTTTGTCTGTTGGAAGGCTGCATAACATTAACCACATTTCCTCATTAACCTTAAAGTCTGCAATGCTAAAACTTCGGGTGGATGATGTCTGGAATGGTGTCTCTAAAATGTGCTTAAGGCAGCACTATTGGAGTGTTGCTTTTCCCCCATACCTAATCATTTCTGCTTATATCATTATGAAATTTGAAATGCTGTAAGTATGTGGTTTGTGGTATTTGAAATTTATCAAGTCAAAAAAAATTAGGTTAAAATTGATAATATACTCATGTTTATGTATTGGTGTTTGACATTTTACGATCTATTTGCCTGAGCACTATGTCTCTATTTCCTCATTGTCTCTTCTCTTCACAAAATGAATTATTCTTACAAATCCTTCAAATCTATTACATCGTTGCCATTAATCCTGTATTTTGGCTGCAACCATACCAAAACTAAATCTTCAGATTTTCAACAGAAGTCCTCTTCACTGTCAACTACATTCAACTAGTTATTCCTGTAATAGCACCAGTAGCCTACAGCTACGGGAAAAACATCACTTCTTTGCTGTGTATGCTGGACACAACACCTATGGTTTAGCTTATTCTATCACTCGTTTATGTAGCCACGCTGTTTTAATAGTATCCTTCAGTACTTAGTATTAGCATTATTTAATTATTACTTGATGGTTACGTGATTTTTTTCTGGGGCTGGTATGAGTGGTTTTCGGCTGTTATGGCATTGTCTGTCCCCACCCCTACATGTAAAATATATGGACGCTTCATGGTCACTCGGGACCCACACCATTTCTGCTGGAAGTGCAGAGTTGACTGATGTACGAAGTCCCGTTGCAAGCTTTGCACTCCCCTCTCCAAGACAGCCTTCTCGAAGCCTGATGCCTCCTTCACTAAAGCCAAGCCCAAGAAGGCTGTTAAGAAGAAAGTCAAAGCCATCAATTCTTTGCCTGACGTATCAACTCCCAAACCCATGGCATCTAACCCAACACCTACTCCCCGACAACTCCTCAGCCAGACCCAGCTTCTGGTTTTCCAATTTGTACTTCGGAGAAACTATTTGCACAGCAGAAAAATTCCATGGAAGTCTTACTTAGCTCCTGTCTATCAGCCTAATCGTCGTAGGTCGACCAGTTAAAGTAACCTCAGGCCTTATACAGGCTCAGTAGAATCCCCTGTCCATTAGGCTGCATGGGGGAATGTTTCCAGTTAAGTCGCGACCATCTTTATCCGCCAGAATTTCCGTTGCATGACCTCCAGACGACCAGCTGGGTGGTGGCGACAATGCCTCAGCTCTCCGTGACAGCCACCTGTCCCAGTCCCTGCACAGTTTGGATATCCCATTAGGCCCACAGAGAACTGAGGTTCAGCCTTGGGCATGAGTCCTTCTAAGGTCCTGTACAGCTCCCACACAGAGGTCTAACCGACTACCACACGGTTCTCACATGAGTTCCAAGGGATCGTCTAGACTCGGTGTCGCCTGCAGATTTTGATTAAACTGCGTGTCACAACCCTTCCATAAACAGATCATTCCTGAATCTTGGACGCCATTGGATTTACATTGGGATGACACAGATCCATTAGATCGTATGGATGTACCTCATCATCGTCCTTCCGGGTGTTTCTCATGCACCCACGGATTCGGAATCAGACTTTGGCGATGACTATGGCCACTCGGATGCTTCACTACTGCATGAATATGGACCTGCGCTCTCCTTCATAGATAAAGTCAACTCTATCTACCATTACATGCCGATAATTCAACCACACACGCAACTATCTCTTCCTTCCCAGATACCATAGTATGCTGGTTGCCTACGTCATGTAAACTAAACTCTTCTATGGCTGAGCTGCACTGCTAAGATTATTGATCAGATAGCAGATACCTTACAGAAGCTACGGCATGATGATCGACTTTCCCTCCCTACTATGAGGAGGAAGTTATATCAAACCTATGACTCACCATTCCCGGATTCGCAACTGCTATATATATGATGAGTATCCTAAGTACAGTCATGTACTGTTAATCCATCATGGTTGCATATAATTATGTCTGATAAGCCAATAGCCTGATAAGGAAATTAAGTAATATCAATGTTCGTGATCGAAAATCAGACAACTACACAATAGATAACAATACAAACACGTAATAAAAAAATGAACTAATGAAATATTCATATTGTTATGTTATATTGTTAGCGGAATAACACAAAACTACTGTTACGGGTTGTATGACTGATTTATAATACTTTTGAAAGCATTGTCTGGAATGGAAGTCGCCAGTTTGAAACTAGTACCACAAAGCTTAAGAAAGCTGCTTTCTTAGTGGCTAATGTTGACTTCCTTTTAGCCATTTAATTCGTCAGTCAAAGTTTGCGAAAGGTCGTTCCTGACCTGTAATGGGATGTCAGCGGTAGCGAGAACTTGTATCTGAATTTAATGAGATTGAGGTTATCTAGGCATGTGATTAATCTTGTTTTGTTTATTTAAAGCATTAATTGTTTATTGTTAAGCAAGTTTATCTCTGCAGCCATTGTAATATGCAGCCACTATCCGACTGATCTCGCATCAAAACACAGGCTGTGTACTCGTGGACAGGTGACCACGGATTACGCTGATCACTGTGTCAGATTAACGAGACTGATTAATGAGTGATTTTAGTAATTCTTCTGTCATACAAATTTGACGCACATTACATCCGACTGCTGGATTCTAGACATCACTCTTCACGGGTACATGTTCCACATCCATTCGGCGTCGGCCGGCTCAAGACGATAGTGATCTTCCATCACTAGTTATTACATTACAGAGCAGAGGTATATATTCCCTGGGCCCTGTTGTAGCGACCCAGTCTATCATCAGGCCTTAGTTTTCTTCTTTCTATGGAAAAAAGGTGGAGGGTAGGAGCGAGGATATGACATCAGCAGCAACAGAAGGTGAGTTCACCTTTTCTTCGATCACTAGCTACTGAGTGTAATAGAACTAAGGTATATCTGGATCACACACAAGTTGGAGGTTGCTAAAGTGATGTCAGAATCGGAAGAGAAATAAGACAGGGAGTGTACTTGAGGAAGAACCCACATGTATCTCTGGTTTACTCTGGCAATGATGTAATTGAGGGAGAGGATTATCAAGAATTATCAAAACAATAGTTCTCATTGTTAATAATTCTAAGAATACAACCTCTATTACATCAGGATTACTCCCAACCACCTCCACAATCATCTTGTTCTAGTAGTTGGATGTTTTGGAAGGAAGTGAGGTTTTTCCCACCTTTGTGCATGGAAGAGCTGCAGGCTACTGGTGCTATTACAGGAACAACTAGTTGTGTGTCGTTGACAGTGAAGAGGACTTATGTTGACAATCTGAAGATTTAGTTATACTAGTGTGGTTGGAGCCAAAATACAGGACTTATGTCAATAACGTAACAGAGGTAGTATTCTTAGAATTATTAACAATTATACTGTTGGCTTGGTGATTGCATGGTCCCAAATAAGCCTTTTTCACATCTGTATGTCTCAGAATGTATGGTAATTAGAACAGAAGACGGACTTGATATAAATCTTATGATTTAGATATGTCAAAATGTTAGAGAGCCACAAAATCCTGCATCTTCTATGCACGAAATCTCAAAATGGATTCAGAAAAAGCAAAGTAAAATCCATAGAAGAATAAAAATATCTATTTTGAAACTTTAACTGAGGTAATGTAATTGTTTGTTTTCTGACCGTCTGTCTCTTCCCTGAGAACTTTTACGAGGGGTGTTCATTAAAGATTTCCCCTAAACCACTTAGGGCTATCATATTTGGTTGAAATTTCACATGTGTAATGATACATGTATCTATGGGTTATGTCTGAATTTGCAGCACCGAACTATTAATCTTACCACTTTTACAGGTGTTATGATCGAGTAGGGTGTGACAATGGAGCCAGTAGAATACCGAGCAGTGATTAGGTTTTTATATTTGAAAGGTTGCACACCAAAAGAAACGTTCGATGAAATGAAAGCAACTTATGAGGAAGATGCCCCATCATATGATGTTGTTAAACACTGGCATCGCCAGTTCAAGTGTGGTCGGACATCTGTGGAAACAGCTGCCATTCCTGGTCGCCCCCCTTCAGCCATTGATGAGGACACTATCCATCAAGTGGAGACCGCCATTTTGGCAGACCGACGTATAACTGTTCGCCAGTTAGCACAAGATGTCAAGATCAGTGTAGGGTCTGTGGAAAAAATCATCCATGACAATTTGAACATGCATAAGGTGTCTGCACGATGGATTCCAAGGTTGCTCACACCTTTCCAAAAGCAGGAACGAGTCAATTGCTCAAAGGATCTTTTGGACATGTGCCAAAATAACCAGGCAAACTTTTTTGACAGACTTATCACACAGGATGAAACATTGGTCCATCACTATGATCTTGAGACTAAAGTTCAGTCGATGCAATGGAAGCATGTGGAGTCAATCAAAGAAGGCACGTGTCCAACCCTCTGCAGGCAAGGTCATACTCACAGTGTTTTGGGACCAGCACGGAGTAGTGATGATGGATTTCTTGGCAAAGGGTACCACAATTACAGGAGCTTATTATGCTTCACTGCTGCGATAAATTGCGGGACGCTATCAAGCTTAAGAGGCGTGGCATGCTGACCAAGGGTGTCCGTCTCCTGCAAGACAATGCTCCAGTACACAACTCTCATGTTGCCCAGACAGAAGCGCGGTCCTGTGGCTATGAAATCCTTCCACATCCTCCTTACTCTCCTGACCTTGCACCATCTGACTTCCACCTCTTTCCAACCATGAAGTCATTTTTGAAGGGAAAACGATTCACAGATGATGAAACACTGATTTCTGAAGTCAAGTCCTGGTTTGAGACGCAAAATGAGGGCTTTTACAAGCGAGGTCTCCATAGTTGCATAAAACGATGGGAGAAGTGTGTAACTCTTAGTGGTTCCTACGTGGAGAAAGACTAATACCTATGCCAAGTTTCATTCCACTAGGTCCATCGGAAGTGGGTCAGGGGAAATCTTTAATGAACACCCCTCGTACATCCCTTTCAAGAACTTTATGAAGTTGACAATTTGTATGGAAAATCCAAGCATTGTTATTTTCCATAACAGTGCTCACAGAATTCTGATACAGCTTTCAACATGGTCGTCATAGCAGCTGTATTAAAGAATATTGTCTGTTTTCAAAACACAACATACAGTTTCCTTTTGTTCCAAAACATGCCTCTTCATTTGGGGCATCTGTGGCCTTAGTTACCAACCAGAGTTACCTTCCATGTTTCCCTCACTTTCCTTCTCATCGCAGCTGAGAGCTAACATGCTTGCAAGTTCAGAAATATGTTCTTAAACGTAACAATAATTGTTACCAGCAAGTTGTCTCTGGACAAGTTTCTGGAAACAGGTTGGCAACAAATATTAAACAACTCATGGTCATCAATACACAAAGATAAGGATACCCTCTGCAAGGGAGACGTAACTACAATTACCCAAAGAACCATACCATCTTGCTGGCCTGCAAACATTGATGTCCTGGACCAGGGTGTTCCTCCAGAATATTCCAGAAGAAATCCAACAAGAGGTTCATGTTCAAGAATCTAAAGGTCTTCTACAGCTGCCTCTTCACTTCAGATTGCTGTCTTTGAAGGATCTGTGCCACGGCATTTGTGAATCCACCAGGCATTCAACTTACACATGTCAGTTCATGACATGCCTAGGATGTGATATTGCAAGCTGCAGATCCCACCACAGAAGTCCAGCTGGGTGCTCATGAGATGAGAGTGAGGGAAGCAAGAACGGAAACACTAGTTGGCAACCAAGGCAACCGAGCCCTGTTTTATGTTTTTGGCTCTTTGTTATATGTTAAAGAAGGAAATTGCAATAAGTTGTTAGGATAAGTATACTGATATCATAAATACTCTGATTTATGCAATTTGTACTCGGCATCTACACAGCTATGTTGATGAAACTTTATGATAAGAAATAAGTATGTGGTGTGCATGAATAAAATTTTCTACATTTTGTGGCATATTTATTTAATTTTCACCTGATAACTTTGCATGAGGGGCTGACCATTTGATATTCTGTGTTGTGGGGACTGGAATTAGTTTAGAAAACATAATCTGTTCCTGAAAGTGCTGGGAAAAGATAATTTGTCCTCCTTTTTTGCACACAAAGATATATTGGGCACTGGACATGATGGATGACCTGAAGTATGCAAATGCAACATCTCTGACAGTTTGTGCAACTCATGTTCTTATGTTTTTTTAATGGCTTGATACAAACATGGCTTCCTTCTTAAACATACATATTTGCAATGCCAACACTGCATCAAAGAATGAACAACAGCTTTGTGTTTGGTTGGGAATTCTCATGGGACTTAAAAACAAATGGAACCAGTTAAAAACTAGAAGTTATTCTTAGAACTGGCACATCATTTGACTATTGCAAACCTATCTGTTATTACTCTGCCATTTCTGATTGTGTCGGAAATTTGAAATTTAAAGTGCAACATTTGACGTTTGGCACAACATTGAGCAGTGTTCTTAGGCTTCACTGTGCAGAGTTGCATCCCTTAGCTGTTAGAGGTTCTGACTGCTGTTTGTTGGTTTGATTACAAGATTTAACCTGATAATGATACTTATGAACTTCCGAAGACTAACTTTCCTCCTTCTTGTAGGGTAACATGAATGGTGAATACAGAGTCTGCACAGAGAGAGGGAGGTCAGTGGGTCGATCCCCTACTGATACTGAAAGATGGTACTTGTTAACCTGCCTGGTGCTTGGCATTTAAGGCATGAAACTGGTCACTCGGAGTCAGAATAATGTGTTGTTTGAGTGGGGTATCCATGTTAAACTGAGACATTGTATTTCAGTGGGCCAGCAATATACAACCCAGCCTACATTTGGAGTAGACCCAGCAGCCACACACACATGTGCATGCACATCACTATTGTAGTAAAATCATTTTGAAAGTAATGTTAAACTCACCTCACTTCAAAGCAGCATTAGATTCAACTCACACCCCTCCTTATTCATGTTCCAGTATGGATACCATGGTTGATTACCAGTACTGTCACCCTCTCCCCAGCCAGTTCATCCTATACAATGTGTAGCCTATTGTATGAGCAGTAAAAATAGATGTTGTGTGGAAACTGAATATTTCATGTATATTCTTCTACCCATGTATTCAAGAATGAGCAAGTAGATTTGCAGTGGCTTACAAGTCAATTCTTTTCAGGATTCCAAGAAGAGTCACAGTGAGATTATTATGTACACGCACCAGTCAGTCAACCTATACTACTACAAGTATACTCTAGATGGAGTCAATGTTATACTTGTCAGTATCCTTTTTCTTCATGATTAATGTCATTCTTCAAATGTAAACTTTGTCTGCCGTGTGAGTTGGATGTGAGGTAAGTTACAACACTACATCATTCTACCTAGTTTTCATTCAATATTTTTTTTTCAGTTTGTAACTTTTAATGTATTATAGAATTGTATTATAATTTTTGTTACATATACTTTATATATTTCACCACTTAAACAAAGCTCATGTGAATTTAGATCATGTTATTTGTGACAGTTATGTGGTTGTCCTTAAAATTGTCCACAGATTTACTTACTGATTTTACTAGTGAATCCTATGCAAACAAAAGTCAACTTACGAGGGGCGTTCAGTAAGTTTTGCAACTTCGATATGAGGCCAAGTCGCAGAATATCTTTTGCACTTTTATTTTTCAATATAATCTCCATTCATCTCAATACACTTATTCCATTTGTCCTTCAAGCTTTTAATACCACTTATATAGAACGTCTAACCACACCTCTGTGGCAGCCTTTATGTCCTCGTCATCCTGGAAGCGTCTTCCACATAGGGCAGATTTCATTTGCCGGAACAGGAAATAATCACTGGGTGCTAAGTCTGGGCTATAGGGTGGGTGATTTAACTGTTCAGCCCAGACTTAGCACCCAGTGACTATTTCCTGTTCCAGCAAATGAAATCTGCTCTACGCGGAAGACGCTTCCAGGATGACGAGAACATAAAGGCGGCGTGGTTAGAGGGCCAATCTTCAGATTTCTATAAAAGTGGTATTAAAAGCTTAAAGGACAAATGGAATAAGTGTATTGAGGTGAATGGAGATTATATTGAAAAATAAAAGTGCAAAAGATATTCTGTGACTTGGTCTTATATTGAAGCTGCAAAACTTATTAAACGCTCCTCGTTGCTTATGGCGTGGACTATTTGTTATGAGTGAGTTGTGCATCTTGAATCAAGATTCATGCGTTTTTGGGGTTAAACAATAGTAAAGGACTGACCATTTGGTATTCTACAGGAGGGCCTGGGAGTTTGTATGGAAACTAGATCATTCTTCAGCTACATCTGCAAAACCAAAATAAAACTGCGTACAAAAGTCCATGTTCGAATCCTCAAAGGGTTTCCTTGTACCAAATCCGTCAAATGTAGGCACCACTTGCAGGGTATCGCCGCTGCGAAATTGGCGTGTGCCGGGGTGTCCAAGTCTGTTCTTACCCATTTCTGACCTCGAACATGTTCGAATCCTCGAACCATGCTTGTACCAACTCCGTCAAAAAACAGTCACCGGAAATCGCCGCTACGAAATTGGCATGTTCCAGGTGCGTCCCAAATACTAATCAAATATTACCGCCGAGCTGTGTTACTTTTAGCATGCAACCAAGAACAAACAATAAGATGCATATGCCACACTAACTTCATGTAAACTTTCAATGGAGAACTTTCGGTTGATAACCTTACAAGATATGATCTTTAAAGTAAAATTTCAATGAAAAAAATGATCAAAATCAAAATCCAATAGGGCCGTCGCTATAAAAGATATCCAAAATCAGCAAACAGAGTTTAATGTGTGATGTATGGAGACAATTTTGAAAGTTTGAAAGCATTTCATGCAATGGATTCAGAGGAGTATGCATTTAAAGACAGGTACCAAAAAGACACTATGAAAACTTTGAATCCAATATGGCTGCAACTAAAAAACATATCCAAAATCGGCTAACAGAATTTGATGTGTTATGTACGGAGACAATTTTCAGAAAGTTTGAATGCATTTCATTCAGTTGATTCAGAGGAGTATGCGTTAGAAGACATACACCCAAAAAACCCTGTGAAAACCTTGAATCCAATATGGCTGCCAAACCACGTGACCAATGGCCAAAGTCAAAGAACAAAAAAATGTCAAGCAGCAGACACATCCAAAGTTTGAAAGTAATCAGACAAGCGGTTGCGAAGCAGTAGGGCAAAATATAGCTTTAAAAATTGCTTGTTTTTCAGTTATCTGCCCTTGGTCATTGGACCTACGGTCTTGGAATTGGTGTGGTATCTGGTACTTAAGTACCTGCATACACACACAGAATTTGAACAAAATCGAGCAAGTGGTTATTATGCTAGCTCTGGTACAAAAATCGACGGAATAATAATAATATTAAATCGAACGATAACACGAGGGCTCTTCATTCTTTCAGCTTGGTGACTCTTTAACAGGCTGTAACTTCTTTGTCAGTTGAGCACCAGTCAAACGGATAAGCATTCTGAGTTTGTCAGGGCCCCGGGTTTCTGTCGCATTGCTCAGATTAAGTGCTGAACCTGTTTCCGACCCCGTTCATATTCGAATCCTCAAAGGGTTTACCTGTCCAAACACCGTCAAATGTAAGGAACTGTTTGGGAGACATCACCACATGTGTCCCGTTGTGTTCTTAACCCATGTTTGACTTCGACCATGTTCAAATCCGCATATGGCTTGCTTGTACCAACGCCGTCAAATGTAATGAACTGCTTGTCAGACATCACCACATGTGTCCCAGTGTGTTCTTAACCCATGTTTGAATCCCCAAATGGTTTGGTTGTACCGACGCCGTCAAAAGTAAGGAAACGCTTGCGAGACATTGCTGCTACGAAATTGACCTGTCCCAGAACGTCCCAAGATATTCTAAACCCATTTAAAAAGCCGTCCATGTTCGAATCCGCATATGGTTTGTTTGTACCAATGCCAGCAAACGTAATAAACCGCTTGTTTAACCCATGTTTGACTTTGACCATGTTCGAATCCTCAAAGGGTTTGCTTGTACCAACACCGTCAAATGTAGGCACCTTTTGCGGACATCACTGCTACGACATTTGCATGTGCCGGGGTGTCCAAGGCCATTTCCGACCTCGAATGCTCATGTGTGAATCCTCAAAGGGATTGCTTTTAACAATGCCATCATAAGTAAGGTACGTTAGCATTTGGCAATTGGGAAATGAAGTACCAGGTCAGGGAGCCTGACCACTCGATCCCGATAATCGCCTCTTCAGACAAGCATGGGTTGCTGAAGACCAATTCTAACCCTCATCTTCAAAGGGTAGTATACATAATGCCGAAGGCACTTGACAGTGAAAGGGAGATAATCCTAGGTTATCTGAGTGCTTTCGGTGAAAAAAATCATCAAAATCAAATCCAATAGGGCCGTCACTAAGAAAGATATCCAAAAACGGCTAACAGAGTTTGATGTGTTATGTATGGAGACAATTCTCAGAAAGTTTGAAAGCATTTCATGCAATGGATTCAGAAGAGTATGCATTTGACGACAGGTACCCAAAAGACAATGTGAAAACATTGAATCCAACATGTCCGCAACTAAACAAGATATCCAAAAACGGCTATTAAGGTTTGATGTGTTATGTATTGAGACAATTCTCAGAAAGTTTGAAATCATTCGGAGGAGCTTGCATTTGAAGACATGTACCCAAAACACACTGTGAAAACATTTAATCCAATATTGCTGCCAAACCACCCAACCAATGACCAAACTTTAAGAATATGAAATGTCAACCACCTAAAGCAGCAGACACATGCAAAGTTTGATAGCAATCGGACTTGTGGTTGCGGAGCAATAGGGCAAAACATATGTTCAAAACTTTAGTTGTCTGCCCTTTGTCGTTGGGCCTACGGCCTTGGGATTTTTTGTTGTTGCTAGAACTCAACTGTTTCCAAACACATACAAAATGTGAACGGAATCGAGCCAGTGGTTACTTTGCCAGCTCTGGTACAAAAATCAGTGGAATAATAATGATAATAAATAAATCGTCCGTTTACAATAGGACTTCCAGCCTTTCGGCTTGGAGCCTAATTAAAATTATGAGCCTAAATATTTTTAGCAAAACCCACCTTGAAACAATATACTTTTTGTGTCAGACATTCCATATTTATTTCAACAGTCTGAAGGATAATTAGTTTTTTCAAGCAATTTCTCGAACGATCTATTTTTTTTTTAAAAAAACAGTCCTTCCTCACAATTTCAAATGGTCAGTATCTCAGTACAATGGGGTTCTTGACCAACCTGCCCTGGAGCTTCCCCAGGCCCAGAACATGCCTCTATGTTTTTATCACTTATGCCATAAGACAAAACAGTTACATGTGATCTGTGAAGTAAGATATGACGCTACATCCTCAACTAGCCTCAGATCAACAGTGGTGTTGACCAAGGATTTCATGGGTAAAATGTATTTGGTGAATCGGGTTTTTTTCCGTGAAAGTTATAGCTAAAATACTTTCCATTTGGATGTCACATTATCAATCAAGTTGCCAACTGATAAGCAAATGTCAGGTTGTGTGCAGGCTGTCTGTAACAGTGACTGGTCTGTTTATAGTTGCAGGCTGCTGAGTATAAATGTTGTTTAGTTCTAAAGTAAGTGTCTAGTCTTAGAGTGGCATTAAGAGTGGCCAGTTTCTGATATTCTTATTTCAACATTTACCAGTTTAAGTTCAAATTACAAATTTACAGTCAGCATTTTTTCTTTCATGATATAAAGATTTTATGCTGAGTTGTGTAATTGTCTTGTGTTTTTTTATTGAGGGATGAATTTGAGAAGTATTTCAGCTACTTTGATCCAAGCATAAATATTTGATTCAACAGTTAACCAATGACATGTTTGTTGTAAGATCAGAAAATGTAATTTGCATATGTGGGTGAACATTCAACAAATGAAATGTTCATTCTTAATCAAATCAAGTCTAAATTGCATATTGTGCTTTGCAACGTCGATCAATCAAATTGAAATAGATAGGCCTTGATTTTATTAGCTACTTTTGAATGAATCAAGAAATTTGCAGAATATGAGAAACTACCATTGTAAACTTTGATTTTGTAATCATTAACTGTTTATCAGTATTGACAATAAAATATGGAGTTGATAAAAAATGACGTATTTCGAAATGATCATTGAACTTGAAAAATAATTGTGTCAATGTATTGGATAGTAGGATTTAAAGACAAAGCAACCAGCATAGCACATTTTCATCTCTCAAACTTGATATCAAAGAGGGAAGCTTTTGTACCTCTGCTTCTCTGGTTCAAATTGTCTCCATGAAAAGCATAGTCTTCAGACCATACTGGGGTGGTCGGGTAGCCTAGTGGTTAAAGCGTTCGCACGTCGAGCCAAAAACCCGGGTTCGATTCCTGACATGGGTATAATGTGTGAAGCCCATTTCTGGTGTCCCCCGCCGTGATATTGCTGGAATATTGCTAAAAGCGGCGTAAAAACCATACTCACTCACTGAGTCAATACTGATTATATGCAAGTCCTACATATATTCTTTATTTTATTACCTTTTGTTTGCAGTGGATCAGTCCACCAATTACATGATTTTATCTGATTGTGTCTTTCTTCCTGAGTTCATATTTTCAGCTATCATATATAACCTGAAAGCCTTAACATATTTAAGATCTGTTGATATTTGTCTTACTGTCCCTGGTGTTAGGCTACACAGATACAGAAAACGAGATCACCGATGGTGTCACAGTAAGTACAAACCTGTCCGGACATATGCTTGGATCAACTGTAAAATGTGTTTTTCAGTCTTGCTTTGATATCTAACTGACTGCAAAGAATTGCTATAACTCTAGATTGTAGAGAAGTATTACTATAAGATAATATAATATGATAATATTTGGTTCATACTCACCATTTAACCATTCAGATATGTAAGACTTTGAATTATAATGGAATCAGGGATACAATAACACCAAATGTGTGTCATCTGCATTGCACTGAGTTTTACCCAGTTGCAACCTTATTTTATATGTTTTTGTCACTGGTTTTTAAACTAATATTTCACATATCCCAATTGATTCTATCTACATTGTCATGTAAAAGTGTATCTAGCATTTTACCTCACCTGACTCAAAGGTATTCAAAGAAATTATCAAACAATTGTTATTATTGTGTATAATTCTAGGAATACTACCTCTATTACATCAGGAATTAATCCCTCCTACCTCACCAATATATCTGCATCTAGTTGATGAGGGTTATTGGATGAAAGATGTGATGTTTTCCTGCCTTGCACATGCGCAGTTGCATTGGTGCGGAGGTAAGGGTTTGCCTCACAACTGTTAGATGTGTTGGCAGTGAAGAGGGATGTCTGTTGAAAAGTCTAAAGGTTTTATACTGTGAATACAACTTTATGGACATGATGTAATAGAGGTAGTATTATTAGAGTTGTGTACAGTAATACCTATTGTTTGAATTATTTGTACTTCACTTGTTTTCTGACTACAAACATTGACACAATTCACATCTTTCAAGGGAAACATCATGGGTACATTCTAAGACACACATAAAAACAGTATCTCTAAAGTTAATCTTTCACGCTCATTTGGAATACCAATTCCTCTGACAATATGTCCAAACTGTTACAGTGTCTTTTCACGCTGTTGCATCATCTATGACTTAACAATTGTGACAACATATATCAATGGATTTCACTTCTCATACAATAAATAATCGCTTAAGATCTGGAAACACTTGCCAACGAAACTGCACATATTATGGGAAAGAAGTACAGAAATAGGATACATTAATGCAAAAAATTCACTTAACATTTATGCAGATTGTTATTCAATATACGGTAACTTCTGAAACATTTTTAAAATAGCATAATAGTCAAATAGAAAGCCATGACAATTGTTTTTTGAAGTGACAATTGTGTGCATGCGGATGAGTGCACACTGTGGAGCCTTATGGCTTTTGTTCATGGAGTCATTATATTGGGTATGCCTCGACATAACAGTTCATGGACACATTTTCCTGTCATTTCAGAAATGTATCCTAGGTGTTCTTGCCATTGTGCCACTGACCTACTACATTGGGATGGCTATTACAAGGTATTTGTTTACATATCTTTATATATTACAGCATTATTCATGGCAACTTGTAATCCTCAAGACCATAGCCTGAAGAAAAGGTTTGTTGATGCCCAACCAGTGAAGGATTTATTGTAGGTCCATGAAACTTGGTACTTGTCTCCTCAGGATCAGAAAAGGTCATGTGTGACCTACGTATGAGGTCAATATCACAGCGAAGATAATTCTAAAGTATGTTTGCGATTTTCACTCAAATGTCTTTTTCAGCAGATATGTTTATGTCCTATCCATAAGGTTTCATATTGTTGGACTGTATGTCATGTCAGAGGTGAAGGTCACCCTCAGGGGGATAATCTGAAAAAAAATCAGTTTTCACTGAAATGCCTTTTTCGACAGATACCTTTTAATCTCAGTAAGAAACAGGTGAACTACTTAACCGTTTCATCCATACAAACTCAGTGATAGGCAGGTGAACTACTTAACCCTTTCGTCCATACAAACTCATTGATAGGCAGGTGAACTACTTAACCTTTCATCCATACAAACTCAGTAAGAGGCAGGTGAACTACTTAACCCTTTCATCCATACAAACTCAGTGATAGGCAGGTGAACTACTTAACCTTTCATCCATACAAACTCATTGATAGGCAGGTGAACTACTTAACCTTTCATTCATACAAACTCAGTAAGAGGCAGGTGAACTACTTAACCCTTTCGTCCATACAAACTCAGTGATAGGCAGGTGAACTACTTAACCTTTCATCCATACAAACTCATTAAGAGGCAGGTGAACTAATTAACCTTTCATCCATACAAACTCAGTAAGAGGCAGGTGAACTACTTAACCGTTTCATCCATACAAACTCAGTAAGAGGCAGGTGAACTACTTAACCCTTTCATCCATACAAATTCAGTAGGAGGCAGGTGAACTACTTAACCTTTCATCCATACAAACTCAGTGATAGGCAGGTGAACTACTTAACCTTTCATCCATACAAACTCATTGATAGGCAGGTGAACTACTTAACCTTTCATCCATACAAACTCAGTGATAGGCAGGTGAACTACTTAACCTTTCATCCATACAAACTCAGTGTTAGGCAGGTGAACTACTTAACCTTTCATCCATACAAACTCAGTGATAGGCAGGTGAACTACTTAACCTTCCATCCATACAAACTCAGTAAGAGGCAGGTGAACTAATTAACCTTTCATCCATACAAACTCATTGATAGGCAGGTCAACTACTCAACCTTTCATCCATACAAACTCAGTGATTGGCAGGTGAACTACTTAACCTTTCATCCATACAAACTCAGTGATAGGCAGGTGAACTACTTAACCTTTCATCCATACAAACTCAGTGATAGGCAGGTGAACTACTTAACCTTTCATCCATACAAACTCAGTGATAGGCAGGTGAACTACTTAACCTTTCATCCATACAAACTCATTAAGAGGCAGGTGAACTAATTAACCTTTCATCCATACAAACTCAGTGATAGGCAGGTGAACTACTTAACCCTTTCATCCATACAAACTCAGTGATAGGCAGGTGAACTACTTAACCTTTCATCCATACAAACTCATTGATAGGCAGGTGAACTACTTAACCTTTCATCCATACAAACTCAGTAAGAGGCAGGTGAACTACTTAACCCTTTCGTCCATACAAACTCAGTGATAGGCAGGTGAACTACTTAACCTTTCATCCATACAAACTCATTAAGAGGCAGGTGAACTAATTAACCTTTCATCCATACAAACTCAGTGATAGGCAGGTGAACTACTTAACCTTTCATCCATACAAACTCAGTAAGAGGCAGGTGAACTACTTAACCCTTTCATCCATACAAACTCAGTGATAGGCAGGTGAACTACTTAACCTTTCATCCATACAAACTCAGTAAGAGGCAGGTGAACTACTTAACCGTTTCATCCATACAAACTCAGTAAGAGGCAGGTGAACTACTTAACCCTTTCATCCATACAAATTCAGTAGGAGGCAGGTGAACTACTTAACCTTTCATCCATACAAACTCAGTGATAGGCAGGTGAACTACTTAACCTTTCATCCATACAAACTCATTGATAGGCAGGTCAACTACTTAACCTTTCATCCATACAAACTCAGTGATAGGCAGGTGAACTACTTAACCTTTCATCCATACAAACTCAGTGATAGGCAGGTGAACTACTTAACCTTTCATCCATACAAACTCAGTGATAGGCAGGTGAACTACTTAACCTTTCATCCATACAAACTCAGTGATAGGCAGGTGAACTACTTAACCTTCCATCCATACAAACTCAGTAAGAGGCAGGTGAACTAATTAACCTTTCATCCATACAAACTCAGTGATAGGCAGGTGAACTACTTAACCTTTCATCCATACAAACTCAGTAAGAGGCAGGTGAACTACTTAACCCTTTCATCCATACAAACTCAGTGATAGGCAGGTGAACTACTTAACCTTTCATCCATACAAACTCAGTGATAGGCAGGTGAACTACTTAACCTTCCATCCATACAAACTCAGTAAAAGGCAGGTGAACTAATTAACCTTTCATCCATACAAACTCAGTGATAGGCAGGTGAACTACTTAACCTTTCATCCATACAAACTCATTAAGAGGCAGGTGAACTACTTAACCTTTCATCCATACAAACTCAGTGATAGGCAGGTGAACTAGTTAACCTTTCATCCATACAAACTCAGTAATAGGCAGGTGAACTACTTAACCTTTCATCCATACAAACTCAGTGATAGGCAGGTGAACTACTTAACCTTTCATCCATACAAACTCAGTAAGAGGCAGGTGAACTACTTAACCCTTTCATCCATACAAACTCAGTGATAGGCAGGTGAACTACTTAACCCTTTCATCCATACCAACTCATTGATAGGCAGGTGAACTACTTAACCTTTCATCCATAAAAACACAGTAAGAGGCAGGTGAACTACTTAACCCTTTCATCCATACAAACTCAGTGATAGGCAGGTGAACTACTTAACCTTTCATTCATACAAACTCAGTAAGAGGCAGGTGAACTACTTAACCGCTTCATCCATACAAACTCATTAAGAGGCAGGTGAACTACTTAACCTTTCATCCATACAAACTCAGTGATAGGCAGGTGAACTACTTAACCTTTCATCCATACAAACTCAGTAAGAGGCAGGTGAACTACTTAACCCTTTCATCCATACAAACTCAGTGATAGGCAGGTGAACTACTTAACCTTTCATCCATACAAACTCAGTAAGAGGCAGGTGAACTACTTAACCCTTTCATCCATACAAACTCATTAAGAGGCAGGTGAACTACTTAACCTTTCATCCATACAAACTCAGTGATAGGCAGGTGAACTACTTAACCCTTTCATCCATACAAACTCAGTGATAGGCAGGTGAACTACTTAACCTTTCATCCATACAAACTCAGTAAGAGGCAGGTGAACTACTTAACCCTTTCATCCATACAAACTCAGTAAGAGGCAGGTGAACTACTTAACCCTTTCATCCATACAAACTCAGTAGGAGGCAGGTGAACTACTTAACCTTTCATCCATACAAACTCAGTGATAGGCAGGTGAACTACTTAACCTTTCATCCATACAAACTCAGTGATAGGCAGGTGAACTACTTAACCTTTCATCCATACAAACTCAGTAGGAGGCAGGTGAACTACTTAACCTTTCATCCATACAAACTCAGTGATAGGCAGGTGAACTACTTTACCTTTCATCCATACAAACTCAGTGATAGGCAGGTGAACTACTTAACCTTCCATCCATACAAACTCAGTAAGAGGCAGGTGAACTAATTAACCTTTCATCCATACAAACTCATTGATAGGCAGGTGAACTACTTAACCTTTCATTGATACAAACTCAGTGATAGGCAGGTGAAGTACTTAACCGTTTCATCCATACAAACTCAGTGATAGGCAGGTGAACTACTTAACCTTTCATCCATACAAACTCAGTGATAGGCAGGTGAACTACTTAACCTTTCATCCATACAAACTCAGTAGGAGGCAGGTGAACTACTTAACCTTTCATCCATACAAACTCATTAAGAGGCAGGTGAACTACTTAACCTTTCATCCATACAAACTCAGTAAGAGGCAGGTGAACTACTTAACCGTTTCATCCATACAAACTCAGTAAGAGGCAGGTGAACTACTTAACCCTTTCATCCATACAAATTCAGTAGGAGGCAGGTGAACTACTTAACCTTTCATCCATACAAACTCATTAAGAGGCAGGTGAACTACTTAACCTTTCATCCATACAAACTCAGTGATAGGCAGGTGAACTACTTAACCTTTCATCCATACAAACTCAGTGATAGGCAGGTGAACTACTTAACCTTCCATCCATACAAACTCAGTAAGAGGCAGGTGAACTAATTAACCTTTCATCCATACAAACTCATTGATAGGCAGGTGAACTACTTAACCTTTCATTGATACAAACTCAGTGATAGGCAGGTGAACTACTTAACCCTTTCATCCATACAAACTCAGTGATAGGCAGGTGAACTACTTAACCCTGTCATCCATACAAACTCAGTGATAGGCAGGTGAACTACTTAACCTTTCATCCATACAAACTCAGTAAGAGGCAGGTGAACTACTTAACCCTTTCATCCATACAAACTCAGTAAGAGGCAGGTGAACTACTTAACCCTTTCATCCATACAAACTCAGTAGGAGGCAGGTGAACTACTTAACCTTTCATCCATACAAACTCATTAAGAGGCAGGTGAACTACTTAACCTTTCATCCACACAAACTCAGTGATAGGCAGGTGAACTACTTAACCTTTCATCCATACAAACTCAGTGATAGGCAGGTGACCTACTTAACCCTTTCATCCATACAAAGTCAGTGATAGGCAGGTGAAGTACTTAACCGTTTCATCCATACAAACTCAGTGATAGGCAGGTGAACTACTTAACCCTTTCGTCCATACAAACTCAGTAAGAGGCAGGTGAACTACTTAACCTTTTCAT